TGTGTGAGTGTGTCTGTGTGAGTGTGTCTGTGTGAGTGTGTCTGTGTGAGTGTGTGTGTGAAGCTCTGACTCTCCTGCAGGTGGCGGGACTCACGCTGCTGGCGGTGGGCGTTTATTCCGCGCGTAACGCTACTACTGTGGCCGGACGATACATTGAGGCGCGGCTAGGAAAACCTTCGCTCGTGCGAGAAACGTCACGATTCACTGTGGTGGAAGCCCTCAAACACCCCGTCAAGGTACGATGGACGTCTGTAAGATGAGTGCTTCCTGTGCAGACAGGAAGTGAGGTGTGTGGCGGCACTCATGCGCGTGTGTGTTGTTTCAGATGGCGAAGCGCTTGAAGAGCAAGCCGCAGGACGCGCTGGAGGGAGTCGTGCTCAGCGTGAGTGTTTGCGCATCCTTCACCACACGCACTTCCTGTTAGCATGCGCGTCTCATTTCCTCTTTCTCTGCAGCCTTCGCTGGAGGAGCGCGTGCGCGACATCGCCATAGCGACGAGGAACACGCGACAGAACCGCGGGCTGTACCGGAACATCCTGATGTATGGGCCGCCGGGGACGGGGAAGACGCTCTTCGCTAAGGTAACGCTCTTTACAGTGTGCTTTAAACAGTGACACCTTCACCTCACCTGATCCGAAACTAAACTTAGGTGAAAGTATATCCTCCTCATCTGTCATGAGCAGAAGCTGGCGATGCATTCTGGGATGGATTACGCCATCATGACGGGAGGAGACGTGGCGCCGATGGGCCGAGACGGAGTGACGGCGATGCACAAGGTGTTTGACTGGGCCGGAACCAGCGGCCGCGGGTGAGGAAACATATTAGAATCATGAATTCTATAATTACATTCAATACTTTCCTAAAATATTATTGTTATATTTAAATTATGTAAAATGTTTTTACATAAAGATGATATATGCTTTATATATATATTTATAGTAAATTATTTTAAACTATTTTGTTATTAACAAGTGTAATACAGTTCATCGTTATTTTGTTTTTTTAGTTTGCGTATACCAGTATAAATTAAATCATGACGTAAAAACACTTTCTATAGTTTACAAATAATTAAAAATAATAATAATGTATGCTGATGCCGACAAAAATATTGACGTTGCTATATTGATATACTTTATTCGATTTGCTTATAAATATTTATTTAGATGTAATTAGACTTGTGCCGGTATTCGGTAATGCGATATATCCCGGTGATGAATATGCACGATATTGTTATCGTGGGCACTTCTAAATACCGTGAATAATTATATATTACAAATTATTCCGAATTTCTAATGCTTTTTAAGAATACTTTTGCCATAAACTGGTCAAAATGCACAACACCGCTGTATGCTGCGTGAAAGAACATGAAAATTTGATACCGGCATATCCCTAGATGTAATATACTCTTATATATTTATAATACTCTTAATATATTTATTTAACAATTTAAAGAAATTTTTAAAATAAATACATGTATTTTTAATATATATATAGCAGAATTATATTTATTTTGTAATCTGAATTTATTCACAAATGTAAAACAGTAAATTGTTTATTTAAATTGTATACATGTTGATTTAATTCATTCTGTAATATATGACAAAAAAACACCAAAATCTCAATGTACTAAGTTACTGTAATTAAATAAATAACCTTTTCATATATTCCAGATAAGTGTGTGTGTGTGTTTGAGTGTGTGTGTGTATGTGTGTGTGTGTTTCAGTGTGTGTGTGTGTGTGTGTGTGTGTGTGTCTGTGTGGGTGTGCGTGTGTGCGGGTGTGAGTGTCTCTTTATGTTGTGTGAATGTATATTTTATTTGTCCTTTCTAAATAACTCACTGCTCCTCTGCTCTTCTCTCTGGTCTGCAGGGAATCGGCGGTCGTGAAGCTCCTATGAAAGCCACCAAACCGTGGAATAACCAGCGTTTTATCGGCATGTTTGATGTGGTGAACACGACTAAACAGGATTCTGGCCGTTACAGATGCATCGTCCACTCGAACAGAGGTGTAGGAGC